TCTCTCTCTCTCTCTCTCTCTCTCTCTCTCTCTCATTAAAAATATTTACTGATATATCTAATTGCAATAAATGTCAGTGCATTTACTATTATCACCGGTTTATAAAGTTATATAACAGTAAAGCTATAAGCAATACAATAGCCATCTATTGTGGAGGAATGTGAACATTAGTTTCAAAAGTAGTAATTTTAAAAATGCAATTTTAATTGTCACAAGTTTTAATAACTTTTAAAATATAAACTAGATTATCGTGATTGTTCTAAATCATGTTGATTTATTTATGATGAGATTTATTCTGATAGTATTGAATAAATAGTTGTTTTATCATTTTGTATTTACCTATCACTAGGAGACGGCACCTGCCGGACAGGTAGTTACAATTTGTAACTTAAATTACTTTACAAACGTTTTAATTTAATGATTTATATTAAGCAAATAATTAAAACTGACAGTAATTATTAACCAGCTATTTTTATATAATAGTCTAACCAATGAGATCATAAACAAATCTTATTAATGGAGATTTTTACAAAGCACAATTAACTTTATTCTTATGCAATCAGTAAATATCCAACATTCTGATTAATATAAGTCATTCATACATAAGTTATCTTAAAGAATTTTGTTATTTATTAAATCATTAAATAAATATGTAGCTAATAAAAAAAAATTACATCTTGATTAATAAATAAATTAATTAATTACCAATATTTAAAAATAAACATTTCAATATAAGGGAAAATAAAGGAAAACATTAATTAAAAATTTAGTAAAAATTTTTGAACAATAATTATCAAAAATCGGAAATAAAGTCTTGATTACTTGGAAACTATACGACAAATTAATGAGGATAAAGCGCTGTTATATTTAATTAAACCTGTCAATATGTGCATTAATTATATTCCCGGGTAATTATCACTTGATTTTGATATATCAGTGATCTAACAGACAATTAGCTCATAGATTATACACAAATTAATAAACACATTATTATTTGTTTAAATAATTTCCACTATTGATATATTATTATATATATACGATATTCAGACAATTTTTAAAGTATAAAAAGCAATATAAACTTACCATAAAAATCATTCACTGAAAAAATCAAATAAATAAAAGTTTTGCTTCAAAAAAGTTAATTTGAAATTCAATAGTAAGCCGACAGCGAAATAATGGCCACAAAATGGGGTATTTATAGCGCCGGCAAAATATGCCACGACTTTGTCGACTCAGTCATGAGTATGAAGACAACTGACCATCAGGTCTGTGTCGGGGCGTTGCCTCCCCTTCCCTTTCCCAGACTTACTGTATAACTAATACATTGCAAACCCCTTTCCTATGCTATAGTTCGTGGCTGTGGGCGCCCGGAAGCTGACCGACGCCCAGGCATTCGCCAAACTCTTTGATATACCGAAGGCGTACGGCTCTTACGAGGAGTTGGCCAAAGACCCGGACGTTCAAGTGGTATACATCGGGACAGTCAACTCACAGCACTTGCCGGCGGCCAAACTTATGCTGGAAAATGGCAAACATATACTGATGGAAAAGCCTCTCACTATCAATACTAAACGTACGTAACAATCAATAGAAACTACAGTCAACTGTCGCTATAATTATCCGCCACTAAAATCATAAATGTATAGAAAACGAGGAACTGTTCGCTTTGGCCAAATCCAAGAAGCTGTTTGCGATGGAGGCCCTGTGGTCACGATTTCTACCCTCGTACGAATTCGCTTTCCAAGAGCTGGCAAAGGGCACAATCGGTGATGTCCTACACGTGACGGCAAACCTGGGCTTTCCCAACGCCGATGTCATACGTGTGGCGACCAAAGAGTTGGGCGGCGGGACTGTACTCGACGTCGGCGTCTATGCCATCAATATTGTGGAGCAGGTGTTCGGCGGAGAAGTGCCCGAAAAGG